CGGAGAGGGTCGCGAGTCTAATTTGAAGTCCGCGCTACCGGTTGCGAGCGAGCTGATCACGTGCGACGCCGCGATTCGCGGGCGTCGCGCTCGCAGGGCAAGGGTCAATCGGCGCGTGATTGGCCGATCTCGTGACACCCTGCTGCCTGCGTGCTGCCGGAAGGACCGTCGAGCGACACTTGTGCTGTGGTCGCGCTTGGGAAAGGACGCAGGATCCCGCTAAGTTGCCGAGTGCCAGAACATAGTTGGAGATTGTAGCTGCCGCTCTTGGTGAGACGAACGTTAGGAATAATATTGTCAGTCGCCGGTTTCATTGTCGGGCGGATCGCGCTATTAAAGTTTTGTTGTCCGCGTTATCGTATGTTTGTGCGTAGAGTCCGTGTGCCGCGCTGTCCGCCCGGCATAAGGTTGCGCGAATTGAGTAGAGTAGATGCGCTCGCCGTGCCACAGCCGAGTCATTTGTGCGTTAGGTAAGTGTTATTTCGTGTTTCTTTCCGTGTTAATGAGTTGTGCGAATTATTACGTGTTAGCGTGCCGAATGTCGGCAGGATTTCGGAATATCGCGACGCCACGTGGCGTGTGATCCATCGTTACGCCGTGTGAGGCGTACTCACGTACAGCGATCGGATATTTCACGGATTGGGAATGGCGTAAGAACGAAAGCTCGTACACCAGTCATCTCCGGGAGCGTTCCCGGACGCGCGAATCTCGATATCGGCGATACCACCGACGGTTACCGCGGCGTTAGTCGCGGTCAGGAGAAACGCTTGTATATCCCAGCACACGCAAATATATTTGTTATCTGTTACAGAAAACTCTGAGTACTTGATCTCGCCCTTACTCTTCCACACTCCTCCGCACCCTGCGAACCGCCCCTCTGCCGAGTTTCAGAGCAATAATTCGAAGGGTGGCACGCCCGCTCGTGCCTGGCGCCCAACTTCGCGTTTTCAGTTGCCGCGTAATTACGAGCTATTAAAATCACAGTATTTCGCCGGACTGTAGTGACGGTTAACTACCGATCTTGCTTTCCGACTTGTAAAAAAAAGACGATTGCAGGACATATTTTGCATATAATTATACATATATAATTATATATGGAATTTTTTTTCCCGGGATATTACACTATAATTATAATTCTTTTAGTACAAAGATGAAAGGCCAGATCCATCTACATTGCCTCCTTTATCTATATCTTTCTATATCGTTATCTATCTATCTTTATCTATATCTTTATCTATATCGTTACACAATTTCTGTTATGAGCTCAGTAAAAAAAGCACGAGAATGAGATAATATGCGACGGAGCAATTCTTATAGAGTAAAACACATCCTCTCCGAATAGGCATTAATCCGAGGTATGGTACAACACTACAAAATGCGTGATATCGATACAAAATTGACTTTAAAAAAAAAGTAAAAAAAAGGGTATCAAGTGTAAGTGCGCTCCTTGAAAAAAAAACTTGTTTGCAAATTAAATATAATATTTTAAAAGATAAAACCTAAATGGTATCTTTCTTTGTATTTTGATGTTAACTAACTTTACTTTAGTGATATGTATATTGCTATTACCTGTATAAATAACTTGATATCAGTAAATGGCGTCAAGTTAAATAAAAATTATCTTATTCAATCTAAGTAATGTGTATATTGTTTGTATAAAATATTTGTTGTCAATAATTGGCGCCAAATTATACTCTCATAAAATAATTACTTTACAGCCCAAGCGACATGTATGTACAATGCAAAATGAAAAAATTAAATCTTAATGAAATAATTTTTATGTAAAAACACTTGGCGCTGCTAGACCTAATAAAAAAAGCAATAAGTAAAAATTTTAATAAATTTAAATTATATAAAAAGCGCCGAGTGTTTTTACATA